GTATTTATTTTATGTAAATTACGATATTATATCCTACATACATTTGATCTAATATCATTAACATGTATTTGTATGGCAACATTCGATCGATACTTATTATCATCAAGAAAAGTTCGTCTACGACAAATGAGTACAAGAAGACAACGAACAAAATTGATAATATTATTTATAATTGTTCTTATTGGATCACATAGTATACCATTAATAATATATTATGATGTATCAACTAATGGTCAATGTATTATATTTTCTATTCAATATTCTTATTATTATTTATATGTATTTCAAATATCTTTACATGGAACAATTCCAATTATATTTCTTTCAATATTTGGATTATTAACATTTAAACAATTGAAAATAATAACAAAACATAATCCATATAATAATTTAAATAGTGATAGACAATTAGCTCGTATGCTTTTATTAATGTCAATTGCTATTATATTATCATCAATTCCAAATTGTATTGAACAAATTTATGATGTTTTATTTGGTGGTAATAGTTATGAACATTCATCAAAATATTTTCTCTATCATGTTATATCATCTATTTTATTTTATACAAGTCCTGTAACTAGTTTTTATATCTTCTATATTTCAACACCAAATTTTCGTAATCAAATTCGAAATTTAATTGTAAATAATAGACATACAGATTATATAGTACATGATTCAATACAATCAAGAAGTATAACATTATTTCCATCAAAATAAATTTCAATCTTCTTGTTTTTTTAAATTTAAAATCAATTAAATTCATTATTAGAAGAAAAAAATCGGAGATTTATTTATTTCAAATCTCTGATTTGCATGCATTATCTTCTTCTATTTAATGTGCAATAATGTCAATTATAGTAAAAGAAACTGACGAGATCTCTTTGATCTTAATCTGTTAAACTTATTAAAATAATTAAAATAGAAAAAAAAAATAATTTCTCATTATAGTTAACACGGCGCAAATGCCAAAAATTTTAATAGAAGTTTTTATTCGGATGTATTACATAAAACAAGCAAAGTTTTACATGTTTTTTGCTCCATTTTAATAAAATAATGTTTATGTCAAACAGAAAAAATTTAGCTGAAACGAACTTCAGTGTATATCGTGAGAAAGAGGGTACTTGGTACTATGCCATGTTTCTATATTTGCACAAAGCAAGAAAAAAAAATGGTCAATTGTTCGAAAAAAGTAACTTTTGAAAATTCGATACATTAGAGCTTCGTAGTATTTATTTATCTAATATTTCTGCTTAATGTTTTCTAGCAAAACTCGTGATGTATTCTTGTAGAATTATTGAATCGTAAATTTTTTTTAATAAAAAACTGTTAGCACAATCCCCTATAGAATTAAAATATAAAACACTATGCAATTGTTCTTGCTAATCATAGGAAGATTATTTTATTCATTCTATTTTAGGACACATTTATTTATTATACTTATACTTAATCCTTCAGAAATGCAATAAGGAA